TTTTAAGTGTAGCCACAGCAGCGGTGGGTCTCTGCCAGGGGGCTTGTGGGCACGGGGGGGCGTTTGCTAATGACACTTGTCGCGTGTGCAGATTTCATGTTGTTTTTGTTACTGCCTGAATTTTCCATTTTGTGTGTGTTCTCTCCTCACCTCTCCTCTCCTCTCCTCACCTCTCCGTGGCCTTCCCTTCTCCACTGTACGTTGCACATTTCCATATTTAATTGCGCATCTTGATAAGAGTCCTATGCCCCTTGTCCACTCTTCCTTCTACGGCACTCTGCTGTTGACATTTTCAATGCGAAATTATGCGACACGGCAACTCTGGTTCTTTTTTCCGCTTTTATTGTTGCTGTCTCTGTCTCTGTCTTCGTCGCCGTCTCCGTCTCCATCTCCATCTCCGTCTCTGTCTGTTTTGCGCTTTGTGCTCTGTTATTCATTAGCTTCTGTTGCTGTTGACCTCAATTTTTATTGCCTGCCACGTTTTTAATGTCGCGTGTCGCATGCCGCTTCCCCATTTCGGTGTGCTGGGGAGCCCCCCCCCTGCCACCGCTTGCAGCTGTGCAACAGGTTGTTGAACCTTGGATTTGCCAAAAGGTTTGTTGCCAAAGAACTTAATTGAGATATTTACATAAATGTGCGGAGAGTGTGGACTGGCGATGAGAACATAATGCGATGTACGTGATCTGGAAGGGATTTCTGTCGAAATCACTTCTCAGCCTGCTCTAACAAATCCCCATGATAGTGCGACAGTGAAGCCTACAAATTGCATAGTACTTGGACATAATCTAACCTTTTCCTTTGCCGCCTCAACCCCTCAGTGCCATCACTCATTTCCAATGGAAACTTTATGACTCTGTTGTCAAAATGTTTATCTAACACTTGAGAAGCGTTGCCCATAAAATGATAGAAAAAGAAACGCATTAAGAGCGCAAATAAACTTTTATTGAGATAGAATTCTCGTTACTACTCGTAAAACAGATGGGCACCCGCCGGTAGCCGACCACCTCCCCCTGGCACAATGCTCCCCCCAATGGCCCTCGGCTTTTCGTGGATGGATGGATGGCTGAATGGCTGGATGGCTGGATGGATGGGTCAACGGACACACATTGAACAAATAGCAGATGCACGATCGTATCTACAGGGTACGAGTACTAGTAGAGTAGTAGAGGGAGTGAGTGAGCCAGCCAGCACACAAGCTGCCCGACAATTGTTTTATAATTACTAGTATTCTATCATGACCAAAGGGAGAAGCAGTGACTAACAGAAAATTTCGAGTAGAAGTGTGGCAGTGAGAAAATACCCTAGGCAACTGCATTCATCTCCTTATAATAGGGACGAACCGCGAACCCGTTTGCTGCAACTAAAGTGAAAGCCTTCGGCTATAAAAAAAAGTTCTCTTGCTGTATCTTAAATGAAAGTGTTTCGGTGTAAAGCAAGTAAATGTTACCAGCAAATTTGTGTGTTATCTTGGAGAGTGAGCGTGACAGCAAAACCGAAATTTGCGGATCTCAAACAGTGCAAATATCGATACCTGCTTCGTTTCGGGAAGAGCTGAAGAACGAAGGGCATACCGAATGCTCATGAATGTATTCGGCAGAGCTCTAGTATAAATACAACTTTTCAATCCGCTCGCTTTCAAGTCGCAAGCTCAGTGAGCAGCCCAGCACGCCCCTCCAGTGTCCACGGAGTAGCGGGTAGCATAAAAGGAAAATTGCTTAATTTATGTGTCATTTATCTAAATGGAGCAGCCGAGCAAAGCAAGAGCAAATGAAAGAAAAAGGAAACAGCAACGGCAACGGCAACGAACAGCAGACGAACCCAATGACTGTCTCACTCTATATTCTTTTTGTAAAGCTCTCGCGCGATAAGCGACTGACAGCGAGTGCAATGGCGAGGGATGGCGGGGGGGTGCTGGTGCTGGTGCTGGTGCTGAGGAGTCGGAACATTTGTGCCAGTGTTGTCGTGGTGCCAGAGTAATTAAAAATCTTCAGTCATGTTGTTGTTGCTGGCGACAAATAATCGTCGTCGGCAGCTCAGGGGCGACAGAGGAGCACACAAAGCGAGAGGCCAAACGCGAAGAGAAACACAGGGCTGAGGAAGGGAGAAAGGGAGGAACATGCGATTAAAATTTTAAATGACAGTTGACAGTTTCATCATCTCAGCATGTGTACAAGAAATTTACATACATATGTACATAGATATGGATGCCGAGATAGCCGTATGTACGCCGGACAGGGGCAGTGGACCGAGAGGGACAGAGATAGAGGGTGTAGCATGAACAGGAACTGCAGAGCAGGTGGAAACGTCACATGCGATTGACTTTACAGCAGACTGAAGCTGAAGCTGCGAGCAGGATTTCTGGGGCTGTGCTTGAGGATAGGGCATATGGTGGCCAGCCATTTCCATACACGAGTATAATTTAGAATTTAGAGTGTGCTCTTAGCCCGCCATCGAGTCCAGCAGTGGCGAGGAATGCGAAAAAGTGTCACCTAAGCCAACCGCAACAAAGAGACACCACTCTCCTTGGAGAGTTCATTACCACACTGTCACAGCCCCAGCCCCTCCCGCCCAGCCACCCCCTGGGCTAAGTACAAAGCTCTGGCTTTGTTGTGCCGGTGAGCTCTGTCCGAAGCGGATACACCTGCACACACATAAGTATTTGCCCAGCAGATTAACACCTCGAGGAGTGGACAAAGAGTATCATCACGAAGAAACAGCAACCTTATTTCTGCTCTCACTCTGCGTCTGCCTCTGCCTCTGTCTCTGTCTCTCTGCTGTGGCCTGGCCTGGGCCTCATAATCAAATGCAATGTGGCATTGGCTAAAAATGGAATTCTGCTGTCTGCACTTCATCAGAGATCCAGGGAAAAGGCTGGGGACTGGGACTGGGACTGGGACTGGGGGCAGCAAGAAGGTAAAGCTGGACTGTCTGACTGACTGACAGACAGCTGAAAGAGTCAGCTCACTCTCTGTGCCTTCTCTGTGAGTCTCTGTGCTGCAGCAGGAACCCGTTTCCCCGCTCAGTGGTGCAACATGCATTCCTCATGCCACACGAAACAATTGACATGCATTGTTGGTGTTTCAGTTGCTCCTCTTGTGGCTGTTGCTGTTGCTGAAGCTGAAGCTGCTGAAGATTCTGCAGCCACAGAATTGTCACAGCAACCGCCCCCCGAATCACTTCCTCTCTCCAGTTCCAGCTCCAGCTTGGTTTGCCATTTTCCAAAATGAAGTTCAAATAAATGGGCAGCAAAAAGAAACTGGTTTCCACTGGCTTCCACAGTAAAGGACACGAATAGAACTGGTTCCCTCCGGCCGGCTCCGATCTGCTCTGCTCTGCATTTATCAATTCCCGATCGGGGCTCTGTCCCTGTCCCAGGCCGGTTTCCCTGCCTTGTATTTCATTTCATTTCATTTGAGTTGGATTCCCTTTCGTATTCCAATTCCAAAGCTCCGATATAAATTAAGATCCATATCGGAAGGGAAACTTGAAATGGAACTGGAACTGGAACTGGGAGCACAGATCGACAGATCAACAGATCGACAGATCGACAGAAAGAAGCCAGCAGTGGCAGGTGGTATGCTACGAGTGTTTTCATATCGGTTTTCGGCTCGAATGCGAATGCAGAATCGAAATCATATTCGGATTCAGATTCGGAGCTATAAAAATTTGATTTATGTATATTCGATCTTCTTCGGGAAGGAAACATCTTTTACCGGTTCACCTCCATCTCCGATATCAGTGGAGGAAGTGGCGGACTGCCCGCTGTTATTTATTGTATGCATTTATCTGCATTTTCCCGGCTCTCAACTTGCTTAATTTGCAGCGCATCCTCCGTGCAGCCGTCTCCCTCCAGCACTCCAGCACTCCCTCTCTCTGTCTCTGTCTCGCGCGCTCTACGAACAGGCGGCTCTATGCATTGTCAGCATGACATGACTTTTATGGTATAAAGTTATATTTCAGCCTGCCTGACTGCCTGCTACCCATAGACATACCTACCATACTCGTACTTTCTCGCAGATAACTTCAAAGGCATGCGATTTGTAAGGCGCCATCTGGCGTCGGGAATGTACATTCAATGGCCATAAATGTCAGCCTCGGATGGCTTAAGGATTTATGTAACAGCCGGGCCCATAAAAACAGGACTATACGAGTAGTGTTTCTCCTGAGATCGACATCGACATCGCCATCGGTTGAGCCGAATCGGTTGCAAACTTCTAAACAGAAATTCAAGAACACTCCTAATAATCAATCAATTCAAAAAAGCACCACAAAAAAAAATACATGGTATGAAGCGCATTAATGGAAAGTATTTACAACTCAACGACCCATGACAAATCGGTGTGTGGCAACAGCCTGGAAAACGCGACAAGTTTCCCAGGAAAAATCAAAAAAAAAAACCCCCAAATTAACATGTCACGTAAGGAAGAAAAAAGGCAACAAGAAGCGCCAACGAGGGGCTAATCGATAATTTATGAGCGGAAATATGGCACACCGAACAAATGATGGATTCGGCGGGGCAGAGTGGCAGGGGAATGTGGGGGCAGGGCAGGTGCGAGGTGTAAGGGATATTGTAACATGTTTATAAATAACGCTAATGAGGCTGGGGGGCCGTCAGAAAAGAGAGAGTGTTGGGGGACACACAGCCGGGGTAACCGCTTGTGAATTGTTTAAACAAGCGGAGCGGCGCATTGACTTTGAACTACGCCACGGATGGGGTGAAGGGGGCGGAGGTGCTATCGCTGTGTAAATATTTACCCCGAAAGAGGTACATGGCTATCACCCCTTGCCCCTCAGTTGAAACATTCATTCAACCGTTGATACTGAACATCTACTGAACGGCTACCATCGAACTGAAGTTCGTTTTGGATTGGCGATTGGTGATTGGAGATTGAAGATTGGCGATAGCTGGAAGTTTTTTTAGTTTCCAGTTTATTCCATTCTTCTTCCATTGATAAATGTATCTTAAATTTAATTGAATCCTTTCCATCTACTCCTTTCAGGCGACATTCTCTCTGGCGTTTGCTTTGTCGGACAGTTGGATACCTACTCGCTGGGCGCCTTCCTCATACTGCCCCTGTGCATATACCTTTCGATCGGAGCGCTCTTCCTTTTGGCTGGCTTCATTTCCCTATTCCGCATACGGACCGTGATGAAGACGGACGGCAAGCGAACGGACAAGCTGGAGCGTCTGATGCTGAGGATCGGCTTCTTTTCGGGGCTTTTCATACTGCCCGCCGTGGGACTGTTGGGCTGCCTGTTCTACGAGTACTACAACTTCGACGAGTGGATGATACAGTGGCATCGTGACATATGCAAGCCCTTCTCCATACCCTGTCCGGCTGCCAGGGCGCCGGGCATGCCCGAGGCCCGGCCCATTTTCCAGATCTTCATGGTGAAGTATTTGTGCTCGATGCTGGTCGGAGTCACCTCCAGCGTCTGGCTATACTCCAGCAAGACCATGGTCAGCTGGCGCAACTTCGTGGAGCGGCTTCAGGGCAAGGAGCCGCGGACGCGGGCCCAGGCGTATGTCTAGTATGAGACGGGCGCAGCGGGCACCGGAGCTGGACCCAATGGCGGCACGGCGGCGGCGGGGGACCCCGAGGCGGCTAACGAGAGTTACTTAGTGTTTAGCACGTAGATCCCCGATCCCCGATCCCCAATCCTCAATCTCCCAGACTCAGACCCCAGTCGTAACCGTAACCGTAACCTTAACCGTAACCGCAACCATAAATGCAGTCGTAGTTTGTAGTGCTCGTAGCTTGTATAAAGTTCATCTCCTCTCCCCATACCCATCCCCGCCCCCCCACTCTGATCATAGAAATCAAAAGTTGACCCTAGGGCCTAGGCTATTGTTTTTTGAATCGTCTTAGTTGATACGAAAGCAAGCTTGTTGAACCAAAACTATCCATTAAGTCGAGTTGTATTTTGTATTTGTAGTGTTCTAGTTAGGCTTTCATCGCTTTCATTGCTCTACGTACGAGTATACGACTTCAATTCTGATCTTTCATCTTTGGACGACGCATTGGAATTCATGTGGATTAAGTTAGACTTTTTTTTTTATTTTTGAAAGCTTTAAATGTGCCCTACCATTAAAGAACATATAATATATATATATAAATACATATATAGAAATTAAGTTGTGACGATAATGATATGAGTGTTAGAATTTAGATGTGATGTGGATGTGAGCAGCGACTGGTCTCTCAATTTCAGTAATCAGTAGATCAGACACAAAACACGAATCGTTTACTATAAAGTAACCACAAACCACACCGAAAGCAGCTACTGTCCTTTACTGTACTGTACTGTACTGTCCTGTGTCGACTGCTCACATCGTTGGAAGTGCTTGAAATCTATGTATAAAGGGAAACCATACGCAGTTGAAATGTATTATGTAGTAGCAATAAATGTCCTCCATGTGCTAAACCTAATGCAGATACGATTATTATAATGTTAACTGTAACTCTAACTGTAACGTAACTCTACTCTAACTGTAATTGTATATTTGTTGAGCTAATTAATTCTAAATGCGTAACGGAATACTTTTAATTCAATTTTTTTTTTGTTTTTTTTTTAAATGACGTTGTAGTCATAGCACTTAAGTGAACAAACAACACGAAAATAAGCAAAAATTTGTTGCCACTTTATGGAAATTTTTGCTCCAACCACACCCCCAGGACGCACCCCTAACTAAATAAGAGTTGAAACTGCCATTTAAATATTTGTAGACGAGAGAAAACCAGAGAAGCAGCAAAAGCCAACTCTGGTATCGGCCAACTGTTGATTCGCATTTGTTTTCAGCGCATTTAATTGAGTCCTCGAATTGAATTGGATTGGTTATTATATGGCGAGCATTAAAGTCCAAGCCAAGCCAGATTTGTGTAGCATTTAAGTACGCTGATGGAAGCGCATATTAATTATAATTATAGCAATTATCGATAGTCGGTGTAACATAGCAAACGAACAATTATAAGTGTATAAACATAAACATAAACATAAAGCATCCCTGGCAGCATCATAGCAAACACACACAGAATATGCAAAAATAAAACATTTTTTTTGATTGTTAAAGACTGAAAATTGTACAGAGTGCTTTCATTTCCCATTTCAATTGGGTTCGGGAGAGTACTTATGTCAAGAGAAAGAAATACCGTGAAATTTGTAAGTAAGCTCTCTGTTGAAACAGTATATCGGATATCAGCAAATACAGGCTGTTGGAATGGCGGAGATGATTACCGACATCTCAGAAATTACATCGATATTTTAGGTGCTCGATGAACCCGAAGCAAACCATCACTATATGAGGATCGACAGTCATACAGTTCGGAGGAAACCTATATATCACTGGCTCAACCGGCAAACCATTTGCCGCAGTATTGTGAACTATTTCTGTTGGTCCGGAGGATGTCATTTGGAACATGAATGGAATGTGCGATTGGACTTCGGGAAGAGGTTTGAATCTGGATCCGTGCCGATGGTGTAAATTTGGTGAATGACAATGGGGACATTCTTGGTCGATAGCACCAATCAGCACTTTCGGATGAGCGGAATATTCAATATCTGGCTTGTGCTCGAAGGCGAGACGAGGGATCGAAGTAAATGAAAGGGCTCGATATACTTGTTGACGTTGTTTGTCGCGTTTGTCTCCGTTCCAATTGTCCTTGTTTAGTGCCACTTGTGCTTGATGTGTTTGCGCAAGTGCGACATGCTCACATGCACAATAACAGAATTACAGGAACAACTGCTACTCCCTCTGCAACATTGAATTAAATTGCTCGCCAACACTTATTGCTTACGTATGCTCAGATAATTTATGTTCTACACCTGAACATTTACAATCAGTGAGCAGTCGACAACATATTAACTGTCCAAACACTGTTCACAGGAAGCAACCTCTTTACTAAAACATTGAAATATTATACAGCACAAGTCCAAGCTTCTCTCCCTCCTACCTCATCCCTCCTCCTACACGAACATCTAAAGTTTTCCCATTAGAAGCAACTATACATTCGGACAGACAGACCAGACCAACTATGGCCGCAAAAACAGCTCGAAATTCAATCATAACTTGCCAACACTCGTATCCCAGAGGCAGAAGACTGCACCGTCCCACTTGAAACACATGGCCGTAAGCCTTGAAATTTACGAGTGGAAACGAGAAATCCACGCCCATATAATTTTGATTACACTTGTTTTCTAAATACTCTCCCGGCTCTGCTGAGAATGGAGGAACCACAAAAAAGAAAACCCCTGTAAAAAGGAAAACTCGCAAACAAAAACAAAACCATTTGAAGCACATGTGTGCGGTGAAAAGGCCGAAATAGAATCCGCAGCGAGACTGTACTTATGTGTGTGCGGGGGAGTGGGTGGGGCACAGGCAGAGGCAGCTGGGGAAGAGGACTTCAGTCAGTCGCTAAGCTCCTTGGCAACAAATTGCAGTTAAAAAACAGACGGAGGTGGGGGCGGGGGCGAGGGAAAATCACTCTCTCCCACCTATCCGCCTCCGCTTGGGGCCAGAGCTCACGCAGAGGGACATGTATTAAAGGATATGAAGGATATGGCAATGTTTTACAAAACACGTGTGCGATTTAACAACTACAACAGCCACAGAAAACTTTTCAGCAACAAAAAGTCCGGACGGGAGAACAGAACTGCACGAAAATGGAATCCAATGTTCGCTTCGCGGTGGGTTTTGTTGCGTTTTTATGTGACCACCATAAAAAAGTTATTAATGTTTGTGTGAGTGTGAGTGTGGGTGTGGGTGTAGAGGAAGTGGATAGAGAGCTAGGGAATGCCGACTGCACACGGCCGCAAAATGGCGCGGGCGTGTTCAGGCGTTAATGTGGCAAAAAATGTTTCTGAAGCATGAGAGCTCCGCAGGTTGGCAGACCCCGACTCACCGCATGCTCTAACCGAATACAGTATTTATTTCAATATTGCGTTTTCCAGTTTTCCAGTCTTTTCCACTGCCGAACTGGTTAATTTGCCAATACTTCCTCGACTCCTTCATAGAATAAACTTTTTTTAGAGCTATATGAATATATTCCGTCGAATAGCTACCCTTTTTTTGCCCCATTCCAGGGCATCCAATCTTCGACACACTCCTTGCAATTTTCATTCAACTTTTATTTGCAGTGCAGTTTTGTTGGTGCAGAATGCGGGCGTGAAAATCATAAAGCAAAACATATGAGTAGATGGGAAGTTACTAAAAAGAACTATAAAGAACAGAAGCAAGCCGGGAGTATATGGGGGGAAAATAATCGCCCCCAAAAGGACATCGAGGAGTGTCGAAATGGGATACATTTGTGCGGTTGCACGTTCCCCACTTTACGGATATGGATACGGATGTGGATACGGATATGGATATGGATACGAACAGGGATTCAGTCAGTCCGGCTGACACTGTTCGAGAAATGATGTTCTGCTTTGTAGAGGATTATTCTAGTCAGCCATGTATTTCCAAACTTTTTCGTGAGTCTCAAAATATATCAGCTCTATAGACAGCATCTTCAGTTTGTGGTTTGTGGATATTCGCCACCCTTATGTTCATGTCACTGGCCCATGCATAATTCCATTGGGATCAGCTGATTCTCCATTTTGTGGACCGAGATTCAGAACATCTGAATCAGTGCATCAAAAACATATACAGATATCGACGCGATAGCTAGTGCATGTTGGAACAATTGCTCAACCAAATTGGAACAGCGGAATGGTGGAATGGTGGACTGTTTGATGTTTTCCTGGATGTTGTGCAGCACTTTTATTTGTCTCCTCTTTTTGGGTGTCCAATCCCAGCAAATATCACTTCCAAAAGCAGCCAAAAGGGAGTTTCATTTAATTAATTGCCGAATTTGTCGCGACAAAAATCGACTGCAAAAAAATTCCCTGGCTGGGGGAGGCAGCAGCCTTTAATTGAAATTTTCAATTAGGAAACTGCACAAGTGGGCCAACAAAAAAAAACACAAAATACTGCACTTCTCTGTGTAGTTTACTTAATTAATGTTTGTCGTGGACTGCTTAGGGACTTACTGCCCAAGGGACAACGGAGCGAGTCCAAAAAAGTATACAACAGAAGTCTGTGGGTCGGAGTAGAGGTTCGGATTAAACCATCTTTTATTAAGATATTTATTTCGTTCTTTAAAAACTATTTAAAGTCGAACACCCAACACAACCTGTGATTCTGTTCTGTATCTTTCCTCAGAAATCTCAACAGCTGCGCTAAACTAGCAATGAAATTTCATTGGCCCTTGGCCTGAATTAAATTTCATTGCCAATGTGGGGGACCCTTATTCCTTTATTCTCACCCCCAAAATCAGCACTCATCCTGCATGAAATCATACGAACGACTGCAATAAATTCAGCACCACCACTATGGTAGACCTCGTCACAGTACACCCTCGCATCTCAGCTGGAAAACCAGCTCGATTCGGATGGGGAAAACGCGGTAGAGTGTTGGCTCAATATTTGCTTTAGATAAGGCAGAAAAGGCAGGAGGAGCTGCTAATTTTTCGCTGCGAAAAGTCAATTAAATCTTTCGGCAAGAGAGGGTTGCAAAACTTTTCGGCGCCGAAATGAATAAATGATGGAGCATGAATGTCAATCAAAGTTAAGCGCTGCAAAATGAAGACAAACAATCGGAACGGATCGGGGAGGAGAGGAGAGGATTGAGAACTGGAGAGGAAGTCGAAACCGAATCGAACCGAACCGAACCGAAACAAAGATGAGTCATGTCAGAGGAAGTCAATTTCCATTAGCTGTCGGGGGGCGGAATAAAATTTCCCCCGCCACGCCCACAAATTGATAAAGTTTCTCTTTGGGGGCTGCCCCCGGCTAATCCAACAATGCCTAATGACAGTTGTCGAAAAGTTTTAGCCGAAAATCGATTTTAATGGCATCGCAAATAATCGAATCGAGTTGTATATCGGAATGAATAGTTCTCTGTGGTAGGGGGGTGGGCCGAGGGTGAGACTGTGAGTGGGACTGGGAGTGCGACCCGAAAAGTTGTCAAATTTTATAGTTATCAAGGGTGAAAACGAATTTGCAAGCTTTTCAGTGCACTGCAAACCTTTTGGGTACTAACTTTTATGTGGCTTATTGATAAAGTTTCCTGGCCCTCTTCCGCTCTTCCGCTCTTCCGCTGTACCTCTTTCTCCATCGTTTGCTCTCTCTCTCTCTGGGATATAAATCAGCTGCGGACTCGTGCTGAGTGAGCTACGGAAAGGTGAGGCTTCAATGAGACATAAACCATGCAGCAGGTGGCCTCCTCCGCTGTCTTCTATTCCCCTCATCCCTCATCTCTCACGGCAGGCTTCCTCTTCTTTGAGTAATTAAAGCAATTGCCTCAAAAGAGCCACAAAACCCGAACACAGCAGGTGGCCTCTGTTGCCGGGTATCTGTGGGTGGCTGTGGATGCGGGCTTAATCAGATTTATGCTGCGGTTTCCCGACATCCGCACGGGCTTTGCTTAATTGTCATAATATCTTTTTAGCGCACGCCCAAAAAGCTCCAAAAATGTGTCGAAATGATGTGCCAAGC